GGTGGGGGCTATGGGGGCTGGAGAGACGGAGCTGAGGTCTGAGCAGAGAGAGGGCTGCACCGTTCAACCAACAGAGAATACACCCTGGATTTGAAACTTTACCCAGGCCATAGGGTGGAGCTTGGAGGTCCTCACAGAGGGAAACCGGAGCACCTGGAGGAAAACCTACACTGTTTCTATCGTGTTAGTTTGGCTGTAAAGAACCAAATACTGAAGCTGGTTGGCCTCCAGACTGGGGAAATTGGGGCCGACAGTACGTTTTCAGCACCATAACTCCCTGAGCAGTCCATTTGACGGCTTTTAATTTTGGTTTTGTTGATGTGTAAAATTACTTATGTATATTTTCAGTCTTCCAAACCATACGACCTGGTCCGTCTTATTTTGATCAACTTATCTTGTGAGTCGTTACGATATATCTTCAACTTTCTTTGGTCCAGGCCTGGGTCTGGTTCAGAGTTTCTCCACCAGGGAAGAGCAAGTGCTGGTTGCCATAGAAACGCACTGTTTACCTGCAGCAGTTTGAGTTTGGTCGCCCAAAAACAAACTGTATTTTTGCTGTATTTTAAGTTTCATTTCTTGGGGTGAATTTCTCAGAATCCCATTGGTTCTGGTAGTTTCAGAATCCCAGGAGTCCGAGTGTAAAGACCACATCATTCTCATATTGTCTCAGGTCAAATCTCTCGTATCGATGCTGGAAATGTAGTGAATTTAGTTTTTTTTTCCCAACACGGTGCAGCCCTCGCGTTGCTTCTGAGGTCTTCCTCTTTCCGCTCCTCGCCTGCAGCCAAAGTGCGGTCAAAAAACATTTGCGATAGAAATACAATGCGTTTGCGAGAAAAACCCAAAAGTCTCGAGAACATTCCACGCGACGGTTACCATGGTGACAGCTATATTCATTATAAAAACAGTACAGAGTTTTTTTTTTTTTACGTGGTGGTGTGTCCCGGTGCAAAAGACAAAAACGTGTGATCCACCAATAAATAACCCCACAAAAGCAAGAGTTACAGTCGTAGAGAGAGAGAGAGAGAGAGAGAGATAGCAGCAGTGTTGCCGTGGCGACGCCGGCGATGGATCCACGACTCCGCTCACGTTTGGCCACGAATTTGACAAATGTTGTTTTTAAATGTCGCTTTTTTGGGTCGTAAAATGATGACATCACACTGGGGATTCCGGACCAAAATGTTTGTTTTTATATCCACGTACTACAGGTCGTAGTGTCACGTGATAAGACCCATTGCTATGCTAGTTGTAGGCTATGCTAGTTGTAGGCTATGCTAGTTGTAGGCTATGCTAGTTGTAGGCTATGCTAGTTGTATGCTATGTTATTAATTTGATCTTGTTTATTTTTTACTCTATTGTTGTATGAATGTACTGTATATTTGGTTTGATGTGTGTTTTTTGTGTGCTTGTGCTGAGTGTGTGTGTGTTGTCCTTGTGTTGAGTGTGTGTGTGTGTGTGTGTGTCGTGCAGAGCGTGTTGTGTATTGTTCTTGTCTTGAGTCCCCGTGTGTGGTGCTTGTCGATGTGTGTGTGTTATTGTTTCTTGTCTTGTGTGTGTGTTGTCGAGTGAGCTGTTGTGTTGAGAGTGTGTGGTTTTGTTGTGCTGAGTGTGTGTGTGTGTATTGTGCCGAGTGTGTGTGTGTGTGTGTTGTATTGAGTGCGTGTGATGCCCTTGTGCTGAGTGTTTTTGTGTGCGTGTGTTGTACTGAGTGTGTGTGTTGTCCTTGTGTTGTGTGTGCGTGTGTATTGAGTGTGATGTTCTTCTGTTGAGTGTGTGTGTTGTCCTTGTCCTTGCGTCTGTGTGATATTAAGAAAGTAAAAATATTTAAATCAATTAGGATAAAACCAATATATATATATATTTAATTTAATTTATAACATTATAAAAATAAATAGTAAATATAGACTAAATAAAAGGACCAAGCAACGAGCATAAAATGGGTTTTAAGAATAAAAATTAAAAAGACTAAAAGATGCAGCACCAACGCCATCTCACTCAGACCTGTTGTACATGTTTTTAGCGGTGGGAAAACCGGAGCACCTGGAGGGAACCTACACAGATACGGGGAGAATGTGCAAACTCCACACACACAGAGTCCTGGGTGGTATCAAACCCAGGATGCAGGACTCAAGGCGAGAAGGCCTTGGGTTCGATCCCGCCTCAGTCTTTCCGCTTAGAGTTTGCATGTTCTTCCTGTGTCTGGGTGGGTTTCCTCCAGGACCACAAAAGTGTTGGACATTAGCGTGGTTTTTCTATAGCAGTAACGTCCTTCCAACCTGATGCGTCCGTAACAAATAAATAAATAAATAACTATTTGGTTTCGCGTTTTCTTTCCCATCTTAGAAATGAGTTTGAGTTCTGAACCTACCCATGTGTGACGTCATCTTAGAACTTCCCGAGGTTTTGTTCCTGGTTTTCCTCTGGTGAGCAGTGGTGCATTAAAGTAAAATCTACTGTTTATTTACATCTGGTCTCGCGGCACCAAAGTCGGAAATAGAAAATCCTCAAAAACCTGTCGCGCACACCTTTAAATACATATTCACACAGACACAGTCGGTCGGAACACCCGCCGTTTTGAAGAATCAGTGAAAAATGACACAATATTTCAGCATTTTTCTTCAACATAACAACAAATCTTCAGGACTGTAGCCTTCGCTTAAAGCTGGGGTCCTATTTTTATTGGTTCAAATCTTGTGAGCAAGATTACCACATCTGTATTTAAGTTATTATAAAATAGTTTATCTTTTTGAGAGAGAGCCCAGCGAGTCACTATTTGACACTTTGGGCCGAGAGCTGATTCCAAGGTCTTACCACACCATTGAACTCATTTCATTTCGTACTAAAGTCTGGATTTGCTCCATTGACTCCGTTAACAGGTGGGAGGGGCTAACTCCTTTTGCAGATTGAAACGATTGGATCTGAGTTTACTGTGACGCAATGAGTCCGAGTGAGTGAGGCATTTAGCATTTAGCCTAGCTTTAGCCATCTCCTTTGCCACTAACTGAGCCTGTAGGGAGACATTTACTAAACATTCCTCTTGCTCCGGGCAAACTCTTGACGTCACCGACACCGACCTACAACACCCCCTCCCCCGCTCTCTGATTGGTCGGAGGGGATTCAACAGCAGCCACTAGGACGTACCAGTAGGAAATGATCATGGACCAGAGTTTACGGATGGCTAAGACCAGGCTAACTGGTTGGTACCCCAGCTTTAAGGCAACCTCCCATGTACCAGGATAGTACCAGCAACTCTTCACCTTCAGCGTGAACGAAGCAAAAAAAAAAAATTAATTAAAAAGTCTCTAATGTGAAAATATTGCTTCATTTTTCTTTTCTTCACAGCAGTTGTGTCAAACCGGTTCCGGAAAGAGTCGTGTGTGGGTGTGCGTGTGTGTGCGTGTGTGTGTGTAAGTGTGTGTGCGTGTGTGTGTATGGGCTGCAGGTTTTCACTCCCAACCAAGCAGGAGCACTCCACCCATTTCAAGAGGTGAACCGAAACTTTGAGCGATTGTGCCTCACAGCAAGAAGGTCCTGGGTTCGATTCCACCTCTAAACCTTTATGTATGGAGTTTGCATGTTCTCCACGTGTCTGCGTAGGTTTCCTCCGGGCGCTCGGGTTTTCCCTACCGCTGAAAACATGTACAATACTCTGTGCGGAGTGACTCTGGTCTGTGAAAGGCGCTGTATTAATAAAAACTTACTTACTTGCAAATTTCTCCAGTGTAAGACCAATGGAGTTTTACTATAAATACACCCATTTTTATGTGTGCGTATTTAATTATTTTTTTGCTATTCTTGCTTTTATGTTTGCTGTTATCGTACCGCACTTTCTCGTTTAGGAAATGTCTTTTCTCACAAAATAAATTGAAATGAACTTTTGCAGATGGGCGGAGTCTGTCCCTTTAAGAACCGGTTTGACACAGTTATTCCCATGGATAAAACCCTCTGGCGATACGTGTACTTTGGCCTCTAGGTGGCGCTGTGTGTCTCACAATCATCAATACAAGAGTCCAGTGACACAGGTCCAGTGTTGTGTTTTCGTAGAAGTGGAATATTTACACCGCGGTTGCAGTTCTGTGGCTTTTTTCCCAGAGTGGATTTCCCGGTCCAAGGCAAAGGTCTGTGTCTGAGTGGACTCGGAAAGATCAGAAACGCTTGGATTTTTTGGCATTGGTCTTGATTCGAGTTCATTGGTCATTTAGAAAAACAATAATAATAATCCGTCTAATTCTAACTAGCATCAGCTCCTAATGATTTAAACGACCTGATCACAATGTTCCCAAATCAAGACGCAAGTTCTCTAATTCAAGCGTTTTTACCTTATGTTTAGCCCTGTTTCCACCAGCCCTACCCCACTCTACTCTACTCTACTCTACACTACTCTACTCAGTTAGAACACTTCAGCACCAGCTCGGCCTGGATAGAAACAGGACCAAGAGGGACTAAAGAAGGACCTGGTGCTGGTCTAGACTAGAGAAGGCCAGAGTACAGTGCAGTAGAGGAGTAGAGTAGAGTAGACTAGAGTACAGTAGAGTAGTGCAGAGCAAAGTTGAGTAGAGTAGAGTAGAGTAGAGCAAAGTAGAGCAGAGTAGAGTACAGTAGAGTAGAGTAGTGCAGAGCAAAGTTGAGTAGAGTAGAGTAGAGCAGAGCAGAGTACAGTAGAGTAGAGTAGAGAAGAGTAGAGTAGAGCAAAGTAGAGCAGAGTAGTTCAGAGCAAAGTTGAGTAGAGTAGAGTAGAGTAGAGTAGTAGAGTAGAGCAGAGTAGTAGAGTAGAGTAGAGTATTGAAGAGTAGAGTAGAGTAGAGCAGAGTAGAATACAGTAGAGTATTGTAGAGTAGGGTAGAGTAGAGTAGAGCAGAGCAGAGTAGAGTATTGTAGAGTAGAGTAGAGTATTGTAGAGCAGAGCAGAGTAGAGTAGTCCCTCACGGCTGGTGGGAACAGGGCCTCAGAGTCATCCTGCAATAGAAGCGTTGCTATCAGCTGTTTTAGAAGCGTTGCTATCAGCTGGTGCAGATGCTGTTGATGGAGATGAGTCCGGCGTCGCCGAGGCCCAGCTCCTCGTGCTCGTTGACGCAGAGCTGGTATCCGCAGCCGCGACGACGCTTCAGCGGCGTCACTTTGGCGTCCGGTTTGGCCCGCGGCGGCAGGAGGAAACCCACGCTGCCCGCGATCAGCATGTGCCAGATGCTGTGGATGTAAAAGTAGTTCTCCTCCGTCTCCACGAAGGCGTACAGCGCCACTGCGGAGGTGGCGATCATGGCGCCCGGGAACAGGAAGAAGACCCAGCGCTTCCAGGTCGGCGGGTAGCAGCGGCGGCGGCGGACGGTGCGCACGGTCTGATGGAGAAGGACACACTCTGAGTCATGATCACAACAATGTTTCCATCTGAACGTTATGTGTATTTACTGTATTTTTATGCCTCATCCTTTACTTAAAAAACTCTCCACAAATAAAGACGATTGAACGTGAAAGTCTTTCACCAACACAATTACTGTATTTTCCAGACTATAAGCCACACCTCAATAAAACAAATATAATAAATGAAAACGTTGAGTTTGTGTTGTGGACACATTTCCCTGAAGGAACAATAAAAAAAAGTTGAACCCCAAACCTAGAATACAAAATAAAAAAACTACTTTTTTACTATTAATGTTAATGTTAAAAAGAAAGATGTAGGAAAAACAAACGTTTACATTACTTTCCTCAAGGAGTGAACATTAAAGGGTTAAAGATAAAGAAGATTAAAGAATTACTTTTTTACATTTAGATCTCCCAGACAGACATTCTACAGGTCTAATCTAAACTGTTCACAAATCACTCCAATATTTACCAATAAAATATGAAATAAGTGTAAGAGAATACACACAACTGTTTAAACTAAGAGAATACACACAACTGTTTAAACTAAGAGAATACACACAACTGTTTAAACTAAGAGAATACACACAACTGTTTAAACTAAGAGAATACACACAACTGTTTAAACTAAGAGAATACACACAACTGTTTAAACTAAGAGAATACACACAAGTGTTTAAACTAAGAGACACAAGAGATACACACATCTTGCCCTATTTTCCAGGTCTCATGGAAAGCGTTGTGTCAGCATAAAAACTGGGTCAGAAGCTGCAAATAACGATTCAGGATGTTGCGTCCTCTTTAACTTTTATTATAAAGATTTCCACCCACTGGGACTCACGGGACTGACTGGGACTGACTGGGACTGACTGGGACTCACGGGACTGACTGGGACTGACTGGGACTCACGGGACTGACTGGGACTGACTGGGACTCACGGGACTGACTGGGACTGACTGGGACTCACGGGACTGACTGGGACTGACTGGGACTCACGGGACTGACTGGGACTTGCTCTTCCTCACACCTCCTCACGCTTCCTCCTCGCACTTCCTCCTCACGCTTCCTCCTCACGCTTCCTCCTCGCACTTCCTCCTCACGCTTCCTCCTCACGCTTCCTCCTCGCGCTTCCTCCTCACGCTTCCTCCTCACGCTTCCTCCTCACGCTTCCTCCTCACGCTTCCTCCTCACGCTTCCTCCTCACGCTTTCCTCCTCACACTTCCTCCTCACGCTTCCTCCTCACGCTTCCTCCTCACGCTTCCTCCTCACGCTTCCTCCTCACGCTTCCTCCTCGCACTTCCTCCTCACGCTTCCTCCTCACGCTTCCTCCTCACGCTTCCTCCTCACGCTTCCTCCTCACGCTTCCTCCTCACGCTTCCTCCTCACGCTTCCTCCTCACGCTTCCTCCTCACGCTTCCTCCTCGCGCTTCCTCCTCACGCTTCCTCCTCACGCTTCCTCCTCGCGCTTCCTCCTCACGCTTCCTCCTCACGCTTCCTCCTCGCACTTCCTCCTCACGCTTCCTCCTCGCACTTCCTCCTCACGCTTCCTCCTCGCACTTCCTCCTCACGCTTCCTCCTCACGCTTCCTCCTCGCACTTCCTCCTCACGCGTCCTCCTCACGCTTCCTCCTCACGCTTCCTCCTCACGCTTCCTCCTCACGCTTCCTCCTCACGCTTCCTCCTCACGCTTCCTCCTCGTACTTCCTCTTCACGCTTCCTCCTCACGCTTCCTCCTCACGCTTCCTCCTCACGCTTCCTCCTCGCACTTCCTCCTCACGCTTCCTCCTTGCACTTCCTCCTCACGCTTCCTCCTCACGCTTCCTCATGTCTCCTCATGAGTTTGAGTGATCTCCTTCAGCCCGTCTGGGAACATTGGTCGTGGCAGGCGGTGCAGAAACATGACAGGCTCCGATCAAAGGTCCTCGGAGAGAACTGTGACACCGGGAAGCACGCCACGCCACAACAAACACATTATGGAGACGGCTTTGAAACGTCTGATCTGAAGGACTTGGCGTGATGATGGGACCTCTGAATCTGGTCTCTTTCATCTACAACTAGGGATTGTTTTCTCCTGGCCCAAGACTGATGGGCTTTACCCCCCCTCCCCCTTCCCCGCCTTCGAGTCTCCTCAGTCCTGGAGCTACCAATGGCTCCTACTGTATGTGTTTGTTATTATTGCCATATGAACCAACTGAGGAGCACAGGGACTGGCCTCCTGCTGCTCCCAGAGTCAGGACTAAACATGGGGAGGCAGCATTTCATATTCATGCAACAAAACTAAATCCAGGTTAGAATACTGTATGCTAGTTTAGCCGTGCATACATCTGGTACCACTAAAGGGATTCCAGAGACCCCAGCTTTAATGAGACACAGTTATGTCTCATTTGCACTCTGTCCGTGACTGTGATATCTCCACACCACACGCCGCACATTTACAGGATTTCTCGCAGAATAATTGAATTACAAATGAGCCGAGGCCACAGCAAACCGCCTGGATCACACCAGCCGACGGTTTTATGGATATCTCCAAAATTGTGGCAGGATATTGAGCAGAAATTTAAGAGTGAGAGGATGAAAAATAGTGAGAGAGACCAGAGAGTGAGATTAGAGAGAGACCAGAGAGAGACCAGAAAGAGACCAGATGGAGACCAGAGAGAGACCAGAGGGAGACCAGAGGGAGACCAGAGAGACCAGAGATGAGATTAGAGAGAGACCAGACAGAGACCAGAGGGAGACCAGAGAGGGACCAGAGAGACCAGAGAGAGACCAGATGGAGACCAGAGAGAGACCAGAGGGAGACCAGAGGGAGACCAGAGTGTGAGATTAGAGAGAGACCAGTGAGACCAGTGAGAGATAACAGAGAGAGATCAGAGAGAGAGAGAGAGAGAGAGACCAGGGACTGAGAGACCAGAGAGAGAGGACAAAAAAGAGAGAGAGACCAGAGAGAAACCAGAGAGACCAGAGAGTGAGATTAGAGAGAGACCAGAGAGAGACCAGATAGAGACCAGTGAGACCAGAAAGACCCGAGGGACCAGAGAGAGAGAGAAAGAGAGGCCAGGGACCTCAGAGAGACCAAAGAGTGAGACCAGACAGACCAAATAGAGACCAGAAAGAGAGAGAGAGAGACCTTAGAAACCGGAGAGCAAGACCAGAGAGAGAGAGAGAGAAACCAGTGAGTTGCTAATCTCTGCCACAGACTCTGGTGAAATACTGAGGCTTTATGGTAGAATTACAAGTTTGTGGTGTTTTGAGGAGATTATTCTCACATCCTGCTCTTTCTGTGAAGCAACAGAACTCGTGTCGTTAAGACGCTTTCCACCTTTTTCTCAAACGCTGCATGAAAAGACTTATGTTTTTATCTCGTTTGCAGCTGAGGAAACACATTCAGACTGGGACCGGAGTGAGAGGAAGGACAAGTGTGGGTATAATGGAACTACAACACCAAGACTAATACCAGCAGGAGGCAGACGAGACCAGAGCGAGACTAGAGAGAGACCAGAGAGAGACCAGAGAGAGACATATGAGACAAGCGAGAGAAATAGAGAGAGACCTGAGAGACAAGCGAGAGAAATAGATCAGAGAGAGAGACCAAAGAGATACCAGAGAGAGAGAGACCAGCAAGAGAGGGACCACAGAGACTAACAACAGAGCGACCAGAGAGAGAATAGAGAGAGGGACCAGAGAGACCAAAGAAATCAGAGAGAGAGAAAGAGAGACCAGCGAGAGCGAGAGAGTGAGAGAGAGACACCAAAGACAAGAGAAAGAAACCAGAGAGACCAAAGGAGGGAAGGATTATCTACTCTCCACACTTGTTTCACCATATATTTTCTCATCTCTTCTCTCTCTCCTTTCTCTCTCCTCTCTCTCCTCTCCTCTCCCTCCTCTCTCTCTCCTCTCCCTCCTCTCTCTCTTTCTTCTCTCTTCTCTCCTCTTGCTCCTCTCTCTCTCCTCTCCTCTCCCTCCTCTCTCTCTCCTCTCATCTCTCCCTGCGCTCTCTCTCTCCTCTCTCTCCCCTCTCCTCTCTCCCTCCTCTCTCTCTCTTCTCTCTCCTGTCTCCCTCCTCTCTCTCTCCTCTCCTCTCTCTCTCTTCTCATCTCTCCCTCCTCTCTCTCTCTCTCCTCTCTGTCTCCTCTCCTCTCCCTCCCCTCTCTCTCTCCTCTCTCTCTCTCTCCTCTCTCTCTCTCCTCTCTGTCTCTCTCTCTCCTCCCTCCTCTCTCCCTCCTCTCTCTCCCTCCTCTCTCTCTCCTCTCTGTCTCCTCTCCTCTCCCTCCCCTCTCTCTCTACTCTCTCTCTCTCCTCTCTCTCTCTCCTCTCTGTCTCCTCTCCTCTCCCTCCCCTCTCTCTCTCTCCTCTCTCTCTCTCTCTCTCTCTCTCTCCTCTCTGTCTCCTCTCTTCTCCCTCCTCTCTCCCTCCTCTCTCTCCCTCCTCTCTCTCTCCTCTCTGTCTCCTCTCCTCTCCCTCCCCTCTCTCTCTCCTCTCTCTATCTCCTCTCTCTCTCTCCTCTCTGTCTCCTCTCCTCTCCCTCCCTCTCTCTCTCTCTCTCTCTCTCTCCTCTCTCTCTCTCCTCTCTGTCTCCTCTCTTCTCCCTCCTCTCTCCCTCCTCTCTCTCCCTCCTCTCTCCCCCTCCTCTCTCCTCTCTCTCCTCTCCTTCTTTACATTCTAAAACATGAAATAGCAAAGTAAGCAGCCTTATGATAGTTCGATGGACCAAAAGCATGTGTAGTATTTATCCTGCATCACACTCTGGCACAGATGGTGTTATCTCCAGTGCAGCAGGAGTGTGTCTTACCCAGGCCACGGCCATGATGCCCAGAGCAAACAGACTGGGTCCCAGCAGGTTCCACAGTCCATGACGGTCCAACTGCAGAGCCATGGACAGAGACATGGCCCCCAGCAGATACAGCACCTGCACACAAGAGCCACAGGAGTCACAGGAGCCACAGGAGCCACAGGAGCCACAGGGGCCACAGGAGACAAGAGGCTGGATCAATACGACATGTGGGGGCGAAAACTCACAACAGCAGCAGGCTTTTACAGCAGATACACACAGAGAGAGGGAGAGAGAGAGAGAGAGACCAGATAGAGAGGAGAGAGAGAGGAAAGAGAGGGAGAGACCAGAGAGAAAGGGGAGAGAGAGAACAGAGAGCGAGGAGAAAGGGAGAGACCAGAGAGAGAGGAGAGAGAGCGCGAGAAGAGAGAAGGGGGACAAAAGAGAGACCTGAGACGAGAGAGCGAGAGAGAAAAAAAGAAAGAGACCAGCAAGACCAGAGATAGAGCGAGGTTGGAGCGAGAGAGGAGAGATAGGGAGACCAGAGAGAGAAAGAGAGGGAGGGACCAAAGAGAGACCTTGGATGAAAAAGAGAGACAGCAGAGAGAGAGAGAGAGAGAGCAGAGAGAGACAGAGAGAGAGGGAGGGACTAGAGAGAGAGACCTTGGATGAAAAAGAGAGACAGCTGAGAGAGAGAGAGAGAGCAGAGAGAGACAGAGAGAGAGAGGGAGGGACTAGAGAGAGAGACCAGATGGAGGAGGAGGAGGAGAGGCTAACTGTTATTAAAGTAATTGCTCACACCCAGACCATAAAACACACACACACACAGACAGACACACACAGACACACACAGACACAGACAGACACATGGTGAGACACACACACATAGACTTTCCTTTTTTTTGTCTCAACAGAAAGATTCTAGTAAAAGCACACAAAAAACGGAGCACAACCTGCTTCATCCTTTTCTAAAAGATCCCTGTGAGTCACTATTTGACTCTTTGGGCTGAGAGCTGATTGGCTGAGTGAGGGTGGTCCTCTCTGTTTCACTTTCCTGTCAGAAGAAGCTGATCTAAAGGCCAAAAAAACAGGTGTTTGAGAGCGAGTTACATTCATTTTCTAACAAAGTCAATATTTTTGTGGTTTGAAAGTTTGCTACTGCTGCCTAAGTGACCCGGTCCTGGATAAATTGGAAGAAAAAATAACAATAATAACAATAGGACGCTTCACATGTTATTATTCATTCACTCCAAACACGGTGATGATAAACTACTACTGTAGCCACAGCTGCCCTGGGGCACACTGACAGAAGCGAGGCAACCAGTATGTGCCATCGGCCCCTCCGACCACCACCAACCATTAACACACACACCAGACTCATTCTAATGTGGGGGAAGTGTCTTGCCTAAGGACACAGCCGCAGTTTGGCACTTTACAGCCACAGCCGCCCCACTGTGGCACCTGTTGTTCCTAGAGGTCTCCCATCACAGTACTAACCAGGCCCTGCCCTGCTTAGCTTCAGAGGTGCGACAGTATCTGTAATTGTAAATCTTTCTGTCTCTGAATCCTCATAACACAGACTACATAAGTCCTTGTGTGTTTTTCCGTCCTGACAGCTGTAACACGGACATCATTTCGAGGTCGGGGCGCCAGATCGGGGCCAGAAATCAGCATAAAGCAGCCTCAATACGAGAGCTGTCTGTCAGGAATAATACATCCACACACACGCAGCGGCTGTGTCTGTGAGAGCCGCCAATCACCGCTGGCAACCATCGCCCACGGAGACGGATCAAAGCAGATCTGACCCTCGCCGATCCTCAACGAGAATGTATTAAAATATTTAAGCGACCACAGAGCGAGACTGAGGCACTGGTCCCAGAGATCTACTCTACTCTACTCTACTCTACTCTACTCTACTCTACTCTACTCTCTACTCTACTCTGCTCTACTCTACGCTCTACTCTACTCTACTCTACTCTACTCTACGCTCTACTCTACTCTACTCTACTCTACTCTACTCTACCCTACCCTGCCCTGCACTGCTATACTCTACTCTACTTTGCCATGTTCTACTGTACTCTACTTGGCCCTACTCGATTCTACTCTACTCTACTCGGACCTTCTTTACTCTACTCTACGTGGCTCTACTCTACTCTACTCTACTCTATGTGGCCCTTCTCTACTCTACTCTACGAGGCTCTACTCTACTCTACTCTATTCTATGTGGCTCTACTACTCTACCTGAATCTACTCTACTCTACTCGGCCCTTCTCTACTCTACTCTACGTGGCTCTACTCTATTCTAATGTACTCTACCTGAATCTACTCTACTCTACTGTACTCGGCCCTTCTCTACTCTACTCTAATTGGCCCTACTCTACTCTACTCTACTCTAATCACCCACATACACAAATCAACAATAATTCTAAGTATTTGTCGTATTTTTTGCAGTTAAAATATGCAAACTTCTCGGCCTTGGATCCGACAATCGCCGATCTTGGAAAAACACAGAAGGTCATTGGATCAACTTCGCTAGCTCCAGACTGTAGCCAGAGCGCACACACACACACACACACACACACACACACACACACACACACACACACACACACACACACACACAAACACACTTGGCAGCCCGGACATGTGCGCTTTGATTAGTGACTGTGAAGTGCTGAAGGAAGCAGGTCTCAGGTCCCAGAGGAAAGCATACACACACACACACGCTCACATACATACAAACACACACCCACACACACACACACAAACACACACACATACACTCACACAAACACACACACACTCAGGTCCCAGAAGAAGAGCTGATGCAGACTTCCTCTCTGTCGTTGTCAAAATTACAGACAAACACAAACATACATTCTGCACCACAACGGACGTGAAACGATGACGACACAAAACAAAAGGTGGATTTTAAAGAGTCGACAAGTGCTGCTAACGACAAGAGAGACCAGAGAGAGAGACCAGAGAAACACCAGAGAGAGACCAGAGAGAGAGACCAGAGAGAGACCAGAGAGAGAGACCAGAGAGAGACCAGAGAGAGACCAGAGAGAGACCAGAGAGAGACCAGAGAGAGACCAGAGAGAGACCAGAGAGAGACCAGAGAGAGACCAGAGAGAGAGACCAGAGAGACACCAGAGAGAGAGACCAGAGAGAGACCAGAGAGAGAGAGAGAGAGACCAGAGAGACACCAGAGAGAGAGAGACCAGAGAGAGAGACCAGAGAGAGACCAGAGAGAGACCAGAGAGAGACCAGAGAGAGACCAGAGAGAGACCAGAGAGAGAGACCAGAGAGACACCAGAGAGAGAGACCAGAGAGAGAGACCAGAGAGAGACCAGAGAGAGACCAGAGAGAGACCAGAGAGAGAGACCAGACCAGAGAGAGACCAGAGAGAGACACCAGAGAGAGACCAGAGAGAGACCAGAGAGAGACCAGAGAGAGACCAGAGAGCAGAGAGACCAGAGAGAGACCAGAGAGACACCAGAGAGAGAGACCAGAGGGAGACCAGAGAGAGACCAGAGAGAGAGACCAGAGAGAGACCAGAGACCAGAGAGACACCAGAGAGAGAGACCAGAGAGAGACCAGAGAGAGAGAGACCAGAGAGAGACCAGAGAGAGACCAGAGAGAGAGACCAGAGAGAGACCAGAGAGACACCAGAGAGAGAGACCAGAGGGAGACCAGAGAGAGAGACCAGAGAGAGACCAGAGAGACACCAGAGAGAGACCAGAGAGAGACCAGAGAGACAGACCAGAGAGAGACCACCAAAGAGAGAGACCATAGAGAGAGACCAGAGAGAGACCAGAGACCAGAGAGACACCAGAGAGAGAGACCAGAGAGAGACCAGAGAGAGACCAGAGAGAGAGACCAGAGAGAGACCAGAGAGACACCAGAGAGAGAGACCAGAGGGAGACCAGAGAGAGAGACCAGAGAGAGACCAGAGACCAGAGAGACACCAGAGAGAGACCAGAGAGAGACCAGAGAGAGAGACCAGAGAGAGACCACCAAAGAGAGAGACCATAGAGAGAGACCAGAGAGAGACCAGAGAGACACCAGAGAGAGAGACCAGAGAGAGACCAGAGAGAGACCAGAGAGAGAGACCAGAGAGAGACCAGAGAGACACCAGAGAGAGAGAACAGAGGGAGACCAGAGAGAGAGACCAGAGAGAGACCAGAGACCAGAGAGACACCAGAGAGAGACCAGAGAGAGACCAGAGAGAGAGACCAGAGAGAGACCACCAAAGAGAGAGACCATAGAGAGAGACCAGAGAGAGACCAGAGAGACACCAGAGAGAGAGACCAGAGAGAGACCAGAGAGAGACCAGAGAGACACCAGAGAGAGAGACCAGAGGGAGACCAGAGAGAGAGACCAGAGAGAGACCAGAGACCAGAGAGACACCAGAGAGAGACCAGAGAGAGACCAGAGAGAGAGACCAGAGAGAGACCACCAAAGAGAGAGACCATAGAGAGAGACCAGAGAGAGACCAGAGACCAGAGAGACACCAGAGAGAGAGACCAGAGAGAGACCAGAGAGAGACCAGAGAGAGAGACCAGAGAGACACCAGAGAGAGAGACCAGAGGGAGACCAGAGAGAGAGACCAGAGAGAGACCAGAGACCAGAGAGACACCAGAGAGAGACCATAGAGAGAGACCAGAGAGAGAGACCAGAGAGAGACCACCAAAGAGAGAGACCATAGAGAGAGACCAGAGACCAGAGAGACACCAGAGAGAGAGACCAGAGAGAGACCAGAGAGAGACCAGAGAGAGACTACCAATGAGAGAGACCATAGAGAGACACCAGAGAGAGACCATAGAGAGAGACCAGAGAGAGACACCAGAGAGAGACCAGAGAGAGAGACCAGAGAGAGACCAGAGATAGACACCAGAGAGAGACCAGACAGAGACCAGAAAGAGACCAGAGAGGTGCTCCACTCTGAAAGACGACTGTGAACTCCCTGTTGTGGAGGTTCTTTATAAATCCCGACTCTTAAATCCAGCTATAAAAATCACTAACTCTTCTGGCCCCTGGGAAAGCCATGTTCCAGCTCCTTCCCTCTGGCAGAAGACCTGTTATCAGTCTGAACAAAGAACTTAACTGATGTTGCAACTGTTTTTTTTTTTTATTGTATATACTTGTCTGGTGCACACTGGGGACTCTCGCACATGTATTCCAATGTGGTTTTACTGTAAATGGCAAAGAAAGTGAATCTGATGAAGCAGCAGCAGCAGTAAGAGTCACCTATATATGTTCCCTTCAGCCGTCAGGAAGACGGAGAATAGTTCTTGGCTCCGGGGCTTTTGTCACCTGTCGAACTTTGTCAAACAATATGAAAATAGAATCACAAAATACGGCTGTAGCTTCTTCACCTCGGTTACTGAAGTGTGTGTGTGTTCGCCAACGGTGTGTTTCCAAGTTCAGGAAGGTTGACTTAAAAATATACTGACGGAGGTTTGTGTCTTCTTGCATATTTCCACTTGTGAATCGTCAGTGAAAATGAAATCTCCAGAGACGGAGGCGGCTGAACGACTGAACATACAACACGTGAGCTGTAGCTGTAGGATTTTAATACTTTTGTGTGTGGTAAAGGCACAAACTCACGGCTACTTTGATTAATACAATCACAGAAGATTAGAACGAAAGCCAAGGCATGAAATTTCCCTCGAGGGCTAAAAAAAAGGATGAGTAATAAAACACACAAAGAGAGAGAGAGAGACACGCACACAGAGAGAGAGAGAGAGACATACACACACACAGAGACACACACACACACGCACACACAGAGAGAGAGAGACACACGCACACAGAGAGAGAGACAGAGAGACACACAGAGACACACACACACACGCACACACAGAGAGAGAGAGACACATACACACACATGCTATGGACAATGCTAATGGCTGAATGAGTGGCTAATGGGGATCTAAATACAAACACACACTCACACACACATACACACACTCAGACAGACATGTGCGCACACACACATACACACCTATACATACAGTACATACACACACCAGAGAAACTAGAGGGAAAGAGCCCAGGAAGAGAGGGAACAGACGGAGAGCAGAGAGAGACCAGGGAGAGAGAGAGACATGAGAGAGAAACCAGAGAGAAATAGACCAGAAAGAGAGAGCAGAGAGAGAGAGAGAGCAGAGAGAGACAAGAGAGACAAGAGAGAAGGAGACCAGAGATCAAAAAGAAAACAACCAGAGAGAGAGAGAGAGAGAGACATGAGAGAGAGAAACCAGAAAGAAAGGAATCAGACAGAAAGAGACCAGAGAGAGCAGAGGTGGCCCTGACAACACACACACACATACAGACAGACACACACACACACACTGACACACACACACACACACAGACACACACAGAGACAGACACACACACACACACACTGACACACACACACACACACACAAACACACACACACACACACACACAGACAGACAGACAGACAGACACACACACACACACAAACACACACACAGACACAGACAGACAGACAGACAGACAGACAGACACAGACACAGACACACACACACACACACAAACACACACGGAGACACACAGAGACAGACACACACACACACACTGACACACACACAAACACACACAGAGACACACAGAGACAGACACATACACACACTGACACACACACACACAAACACACACAGAGACAGACACACAAACACACACACACACACAGACAGACAGACACATACACACACACAAACACACACACCGACACAGACAGACAGACAGACAGACACAGACACACACACACACACACACAGACAGACAGACACAGACACACACACTGACAGACACACACACACACACACAGACACGCACCTGTTTGATGATGGCCTTGAGGCGCGCCATGGCGATGACGGTGACCCACACGGACATGAGGGAACCCAGGAAGTCACAGAACTGCAGCACGTCGTACTCCATGATGCAGAAGACCACGATCCCCGGCTGGTCACACGCATGGTAGAACTATAGACGAGACCAGAAGGAGAGGGATCAGAAACACAATCTCAAACCAGAGAGAGACCAGAGAGAGAGCAGAGAGAGCAGAAAGAGAGACCAGAGAGAGACGAGAGAGAGAATAGAGAGAAAGACCAGAGAGAGAGACCAGAGAGAGAATAGAGAGAGAGAGACCAGAGAGAGACCAGAGAGAGACTAGAGAGAAAGACCAGAGAGAGACCAGAGAGAGAGAAAGACCAGAGAGAAAGACCAGAGAGAGACCAGAGAGAGACCAGAGAGAGACTAGAGAGAAAGACCAGAGAGAGAGACCAGAAAGAGACAAGAGAGAGAGAGAGAGACCAGAGAGAGACCAGAGAGAGACTAGAGAGAAAGACCAGAGAGAGAGACCAGAAAGAGACAAGAGAGAGACCAGAGAGAGACCAGAGAGAGACCAGAGAGAGACCAGAGAGAGAATAGAGAGAAAGACCAGAGAGAAAGACCAGAGAGAGACCAGAGAGAGAGAGAGAGACCAGAGAGAGACCAGAGAGAGACTAGAGAGAGACCAGAGAGAGAGACAGAAAGAGACAGAGAGAGACCAGAGAGAGACCAGAGTGAGACTAGAGAGAGACCAGAGTGAGACCAAAGGCAGACCAGAGACAGAGCAGAGAGACTTGTAATATAATAGAATTACACCGTCAAAAATGCATTCTTTTTGAAGATTAAAAACAAAAGAAGTGGCAGACATCCCCTTTAAGACATGAACCCACTTTCTAATACAGAAAACACAGACTAAAACAAGTTTAAAAAGAAAAAACTGACACAATCGATGCATTATTGTGTCCTTTAGGCAAAATCCAACCCGTTTCTCTCCCGCACATTTCATAGTGTTGTACAAGAATGCCAAAAAGTTGCTGGTGGGCACAACAGCGGCTGGACCGGGCCGATCTATAATCCTGGCAGGGCAGACACGCTGTTGTATGAATAAAATATGGGGCTGTCTGGTTTGGGCGAATAATAGATTTGAGTCTGAGGCCTCCTGGTTTGACACGGAGTTGGCTTTATAATTGAAAAGATGAAACTTGAGCAACACTGAGAGTTCAGGCGTTCACAAACATGGTCCTAAAGCCTGGTCATTTTTTATCTGTGTGTGAGGTCTCTCAGGTTAGGAAAATCGGCCGACAATTTTAAAATCGTCTCGTGTGGACCAGACTTCACGTGGTCCAGGATTATAGGGTCTGGAGAAGGAGGTTTGAGGGTTTGAGGGAGGCACACACTCCGAACTCACTACAGAACCTAAAGTCATTTCTCACAGCCCACCTTTTTCAGCTTTTCCTTCATTTTGCTCACTCTCTAGACTCTCTCTGGTCTCTCTCTGGTCTCTCTCGATAGTCTCTCCCTGGCCTCTCTCTGGTCCCTCTGGTCTCTCTCTGGTCTCTCTCAGGCCTCTCTCGAGTCTCTCTCAGGCCTCTCTCGAGTCTCTCTCTGGTCTCTCTCTGGTCTCTTTCTAGTCTCTCTCTAGTCTCTCTTTGGTCTCTCTCTGGTCTCTCTCCGGCCTCTCTCTAGTCTTTCTCTGGTCCTTCTTGTCTCTCTCTAGTCTCTATAAGTTCGATAGATGGTTAGACAGATAGATACTGCGTCTGGCGCTGGACTCACCGTGGAGAAGAACATGGTGAAGATGTAGACGGAGGCCTCCAGCAGGTAGTGGCTGCGGACCGCGATGACCACGGGGGGCACGAACATGAGGTTGGACAGACACAGCAGCAGCGTCGACAGCAGCTGGAAACTGTAGGAGTACGCCTGGCTGTTGTCCGTGCAGCCCCAACCGTCCCACCCTGCAAAAAAACATCCATAAATCACATATAGAAACGTCCTCACATAATTCGGAAAATAAATAAGGGGGCGACAGTGGCTCAGTTGGCCTTTGAGCCTGAAGGTCGTGGGTTCGAGCCTACCACGAGACCTTCTACACCAACTCCCACTGATGTCTGCTGTCGTTGCGTCCTTAAAGGAGCATTATGTAAAAAATATGGCCAAAAGTGGTACTGCAGCCTCTCCCAGTCTCCTTGACTCAGGTTGCCAGATATGCAGACGAATCCAGCTGGGACCATTATATCTGAGTAGAGAGTATTGTGGAAAACAAATAGAAATCCTCGAGAATCATAACAGTTTTATAGTTCTGCGGCCACATGGTACTTTACCAGTGAGATTAGCTCCACGCGGTGAGTTCTGGCGTCCAGATCACAGACTCTCTGATTGGTGAAACGGTGGAGGGCGGGACATCGAAATGAAAACAATAACAAGATTTAGGGGCTGGAAAAGTCATTTAGAAATTCAAATATCTCTGAATTACTTTTATCCGTTAAAAAAGTATTGGAAAATAATACGTTTTATTAATGCGTATTAGGGCCCTTTAATGATGACTTGACATGAAAATCTTAGTTATTGCACTTTGCTTGGCCCCCCCGACCCAGAAATGGATTAAGGGGCAGAAAATGAATGGATGGACTGACAATAGTATTAGGTTGCAGCAGAGGTGTTGCAGCCGCTTGGTTCAGACCCGTTTCTCTGCTTTGGCCCAGTGTGAAAATGCTGAATGCTTTATGAACATTTTCCCAAAAAATAGCATTCAGCAGCGAGTAAAACACAAATTCAAAACACAAAACAAAAGCAGATATAGAGAGCAGTGGATGCTTCTGTTCCAAGCAACTTGTCGGCCATAAATAGACGAATAGACAATAAACGAGTAATTTTAAATCTTGTTAATGATTTCCATGTGTTTAGAAACCATTTTGGCGTTTTTTTTGTGCGGCATTCTGGAAAATCTGGCAGTCACTTAGCAACACTGACTATTTTCTTGGTTTAATTTCAGCCAAGAGTGAAAAC